GATGACACAACCTTGCTTGCTGAAACTGAAAAGGACCTTATGTATTTGCTGCAAAAGGTCAAGGATTGTACTTTTCAGTGCGAATTGAAACTCAACATCAAGAAGACAAAGATTCTCTCTACAGGGACAATTGGCAACACCATGATAGGTGGAGAAGAGACTGAGGTTGTTAACAATTTCAGCTTGCTTGTCTCCACAACCAACACCATTGGCACCAGTAGCCAGAAAATTGCATTAGGAAAGTCTGCTGTCAAGGATCTCTTCAGAGTGCTAAAGAGCAACGATGTGAGTCTAGAAATTAAGGTGTGCCTGATCCAGACCATGGTCTTCACAATTACTTGCTACCCAACTGACAGATAGACAATAAATAAGAAAGATAGAAGAAGAATTGATGCCTTTGAGTTGCGATGCTAGAGTATTGAAGATACCATGGACTGCCAAAAGAACAAACAGGTTTGACCTGGAGAGAGTGAAACCAGGTTATCCTTGGAAGCAAAGATGAAGCTCTATCTGACATACTTTAGGCATATTGCCAGGATGGACAGTCCCTGGAGAAGGACGTCTTGCTTGAGAGGGTAGAGGGGCAGCACAAGAGAGGAAGACCCTGGAGGAGATTGATTGACACAGTAACTGGGATATTGGGGGTAGATGTGTCAAAGACAGTGATATTGGCTCAAGATAAGACAGGTTTCAGAGATACTGTGCCTAATAGGGCTGCTATGAGGCACAAGCAACTCAATGACACATAACAATAATTTGGAGAGGTCCATGACAGAAGACTTATGCAATGCAATATGTCTTTTGATCTCCTGACTGTTAGTATCAAGGGTGTTGATTTTTTATTGTTACATTATGTCAAGTCAGAACTGAGTTGTAGCAGATCCTAGTAGGTTTTCAGAGGCAGTAAATCTCATGGGAAATAAGTGTGCATCTTTGCCTGACAGAGTGTTTGATGGATTCTTCCTGCTGTTGAGTTCATAACACAACTCTTTAAGCCAGCCAAATTCCCTGTCACTAGCATGCTGTTATTGTTAGATGCCATCAAGCACCTTCCAATTCTATGAACAACAGATCTGAACCTTGCCTTATCTTCATTCTCACAGACTCTGATATGCTCTATTACAGTCACAGTGAGGCAGAAAGTTATACTGGTAAGACCTTTGTCATGAAATTAATATTTAAAATATTAACAAATTCAAGGCTAAAAATGTCTTTGTGAGTTGAATAAGAAAATCATGGAAATAATTTTCCAGATACTGAATACTGAGTTAGGGAAATGTTATTTCAGAAAAAAAATTAAAAACAAAAACCCCAAACAAACAAACAAACAAAAACCCCAAAACCCCAAACAAACATTCCTTTAAAAAGTTTAAAAATGCAACAATGAATGAATGCAAATCCAAAATCTCTGTAAATGCTCATTAATATTGTTGTTATTGTTGTTGTTGTTGTTAAGTGCCATCGAGTCGTAGGTGAGTCATAGCAGCCCTATGAATGAAAGTCCTTGACAGTTGCATGACTTTCATCCTTTCTCCACGTTTGTAGGGTTTCCCGAGGCAAGCTATTTACAGAAGTGGATGCCACTCATGCTTCCAAGCTTCACTAATATTAATAAAATAAAATTTAAAAAATGTTTTAAAACCCTTTCAGTAAACAATGAAAACATTTTCTCAGTCAGCAATTAGATTCTATATTCTCTATGGCTTATGAAAAAAGTTAGATAAGCAAATCTAAGCAATTAATATCAAAGTAATTTGGAATGTTCAGTACAATCATTTAATTGTTTAAATGTTTTTATCTACTCAACCTTATATAGCTGAGAAATCTTATTTTGTTCTTGATCCACCTTGCAAAACTTTAGGAAAATTAAATTGATTAGTATATCAACTAGAATTTAAAAGATGACTCTTCACTCCAGTAGCACTGGCAAAGTTTAACAGGACAGCAAGTAATAAATGTTGGAGAGGATGTGGTGAGTTAGGAGCTCTTATACATTATTGGTGTGATTGTAAAATGGTACAACCACTCTGGGAGACAGTTTGGCACTTCCTCAAAAAGCTAAACAGAAATTCTATATGACTCAGCAATTCTACTGCTTGGAATATACCTTGAGAAAATGAGAACCGAGGCACTAATGGAGACTTGTACACTAATGCTCATAGTAGTGTTATTCATCATCCCAGAATATGGAAACAGTCCAAGTATCCAACTATGAACAAATGGGTTAAGAAATCATGGTTCATTAGCAAAATAGAATACTACACAGCATACAGTAACAATGATTTTGCAAATTACTTTCTAACTTGGGAGGGACTAGAGATCATTATACTATGTTAACTAACTCAGTCTCATAAGGACAAATACTGTATAAGATGACTATATTAGAAAGAATATGCAAATCCAAAGGTGGGTGAGGGTGAGAGTAGAAGGATGAGAATGGACTGGGTGGGGGGTTGGTTAATCTTAATCATAGGGTCTCACAATTCGATGGGTGAAGGGAAGGGTAGGTGAAGCAAATGGGAAAGATGCAGTGTGAAAAGTAATCTATACAAACGTTGTAAATAAATCATTATAATAAAATAAATTAAAATGCTCATAAAGCACTTTAAAAAAAAAGATGACCCCTAATACATGTAGAAATCAAGCCTCATTATAAAAACATCAAAGTCCTTTGTCCTTTGAAACAAAGGACTTTAGTGCTTTTGTGAAAGCATTATTTCTGTCTTAGGCTGAATTCTCTATAGAAGCAAAAACAATGTGTTGTTGTGTACTGTTGAGTCTGAACGAACCAATCAGTGAACCTCCAGCAAGTTTGCTGGAAATAAAAGACTTTCATTTCTGAAATAAAAGACCTTCCTTCCTTAGGGAGCTCTGGTGCCTTAGTAGTAAGAAAGTGGTTCAAGTCCAGCAGCTGCTCTGAGGGAGAAGGAGGGGCAACCTCCTTTCATGTGATTACTGCCTCTGAAAAATCTTTTGGAAGATCAGCTATGGGTCAATTCTGATTTGACAGCACACAAAAACAAAATCATTCCAGATGTGAATAATGACCCTTTGTGGCATAAAGATTATTTCTTAAAAAACTTTAATTCTGAACATCACAATTCCCAATTTTCCAGGAGTGCCATTAATTTGGTTTAAAGCAAAGCTAATGCTTTTCTTTTTCTCAAGAGAATTCTATCCCTAGTATTTTGCACTGGACTTGAGGTCCTAGGAGACAAATGTACATCCTTGGAGATCAAAGACCCACAAACAACAAGTCAAAGTAACCTGTGCTTACAAAAGCCTAAGTTTGTTGCAGAGAATCATATTCCTTATTCAAGCAAGAATTCTATAACAGTGAAAATTTAGAGATACTTTTAGAACAATCTTTAAAGATCTCTTTCAGCCCACCATCCTTTATAGAACAGGAAAGGGGAAATGAGTTGTCCAATGTCACTCACTGAGTTAGTGACACAACTTAAACAGAAATTCAGTGTTAAAATTTGCAAGGAGGACTGTATCTCTTCCTTGTTTCCAGTGTTTGTCATTTGACTGTTGGAAGGTATGGGCTAATAACATCATAATCTGAACAAGTTCCACCAGATTCTGAACGGATAAATTTGGCATGAAGTTGACTTATGTGAATTTACTTCAAAATACCGGAAAGAAAATATAAATTAAGAAGAAACAGAAATTTTTCTTCTTGGAAGATATTCAAGTGAGTGCATAATATTTACCTATAATTTTTCTAATCATTTATTGTGAAATGGAATTAATTAGGGAAAATTGCAAATTTCCATTTCAATAAAACTGGTGTTGGACAAAGCTTATATTTCTACTATTGAAGGCTATTATATTTCTACTATTTACTGAGTTCCTATTACACAACTGAAACTGGAAAAAATTTTCTACTGTCTATTTGGTGTGCAGTGAATGGAATGTCAGTAAAAATTCTCTTCAATTAATTCATATTTCACATTTCACTACTTCTCTTGTCTGCACTTATGGTAGATTCCAAAGGTTTTTGTAGAATGAAAAACAAATGTAACAGGCACATATTTGGATAAAACTTACATGAGTATAAGTTGAAGAAATGCTTAATTTGAAATATGATTATTTCTGTACGTTAATGCTATAAATCTAGATACTAGGATATAAATTTTGTACTATATGGGCAACAAAAATGCAGTGCACAGAAAATCCAGAATAATCCTAAAAGTCTAGAAGCTGTGCTACAATCCTGAAGGCACACATTTCGAGACTGCCAGTTGCTTTGCATGAGGATGGGCAATCTCCTCCCACATGATTAACTGCCTCAAAAACCCATCTCAGGGTCAGCTGTGGGTTGCTTCTGACTCTACAGTACACAAGAATAACTATATGGGCAACAAAAATCCAGTGCACAGGAAAAAAATCCAGTATTAATCTTAAAACCACTTTCATAAGATTTAACAAAGTTGTGCTATTTCCTGTATAGAGGGTTCTACCCTGTAATAGTAGCAGCTGTTCACTCCATAACTGCTGTGTTCCAGTTTACTCTGTGCACCAGCAAAATCTCAAAAGGTAAACACATGTTGCCAATTTGTTCTTAGATCTATTGTTTTAAAGATAACATTTTTCTGTTTCATGTACAGTTTATGGAGGTCTTGATTAATTGTGTTCTGACATGAAATACATTATTGGTCACATTATTATTGATGACCTTTAGTTGTTTTTTTATGAATAATAAATTTTACTTTACACTGTAACAATCAAAACTCAAAGTCAATGCCATGGAGTCAGTTCCAACTTAACTGCAACCCTCCATGTGTTACTGAAGCCATAAATAGCAATGGGGGTGGACTGTCTTTCTTTAACTGGCAGAGCTGCAGGTAGAACCACTGTAGAGGCACAATCTAGGTTAGCAACCCAACTCGTTATGGCCTACACTATGAGAGTTAATAAACCTTTCACTAACTACAGGTAAACGCTTTCTGTGATTTTTTTTTTCTTAGTTTCACATTGTCAATTCTATGAAGAAAATGGCCCAAGAAAATGATTCCACAGTAATTGAGTTTCTCCTGGAAGGACTGACAGACAAACCAGAACTCCAGCTACCTCTCTTTCTCATATTCCTAGGGATCTATGGAATCACTGTTGTGGGAAACCTGGGCATGATACTACTCATCACTTTCAATCCCAAACTCCAATCTCCCATGTACTTTTTTCTTGGTAATTTGTCATTCTTAGATCTGTTTTACTCTTCAGTTGTTACCCCTAAACTCCTGGAAAACTTTGTGTGGGAGAAAAATGTTATTTCCTATCCTGGATGTATGACTCAGCTATTTTTCTTTTGTGTTTTTGCTATTGCTGAGTGTTACATGTTAACTGCTATGGCATATGACAGATATGTAGCTATCTGTAGTCCACTGCTCTACAATGTCATCATGTCCCAAAAGGTCTGCAATATACTGCTAAGTGGAGTCTATTTCATGGCAACTTCAGGAGCAATGATCCATACAATCTTCATGACCAGACTTTCCTTCTGTGAGGACAATATTGTCCGCCATTACTTCTGTGATATACTTCCTCTCTTAAAGCTCTCATGCTCCAGTACCTACATCAATGAGATTCTGGTGATAATTGGAGGCGGCTTCAATATGTTAGTAACAACTGTGGCCATCATCATATCCTATACTTTTATCCTTGCCAGCATTCTTCGTATCCCTTCATCTGAGAGCAGGTCCAAAGCGTTTAGTACTTGTGGTTCCCATCTTACAGTTGTTGGAATTTTATATGGCTCTATGATTTTCATGTATTTAAAACCAACATCCAGTAGCAATATGGCCCAGGAGAAGGTGGCCTCTGTGTTCTATACCACAGTGATCCCTATGCTGAACCCTCTGATCTACAGCTTGAGGAATAAAGATGTACAGAACGTTCTCCGAAAAATCATAGGTATGAGGTATGGATCACCCCACAGTAGTAGTCAGAACCACTGAATGTCATGGAAATAGTCGTCTTCTTTAATTTTCTTCAACAAATTTCTATTTATGTTTCTTAAGAGTAACATCCCATTCTCATTCCTTTGACTACATCTGTTTGATATTATCCCTTTATGAAGTTTAAACATACACATATCTATCTATTTATTTATTTATCTTTAGTATAGTAGTTGTCCTTATTGTGGCTCAGGTGTATGTATATAGAATAGCTCTTCCCAGGATCTTATCCTTCTCTACTGAGAAAAACTGGGGTGGAATATTTTTTCATTTATCTGATACAAATTGAAATAATTCTCATCCATCATTAATAACTAACTAGAAGACACTAAGGGTAAATATGTCAGAGTAGTTATAAGAGAAAATAGCTTTAATTTTTTTATTGCGGACTGAATACAAAACATAATTTTGTACTTGACTAATGTGAAGCTACATTCTGACATCCTTCATTTCTCTACTGCCATATATATGCTTCATAGAAGCAGAATGCAACAAGTGTAAAAATAATAATGGAATGTCAGCACAAGTTAAACCAGTGGAAACTTTTGTGTGTAATGAAACTTTATCTTTCCATCAAAATTGATACTTAACCGATAATTTAACCATTCATAACTTGATCTAAATAAGATGTTTATTTGGGAAGTCATAGAATAGTACGATCAAACACATATTCCTAAAGAAATAGGGAATAGGCGTATTTTTCTTCTTCTCCTCCTTCTTGTTGTTTCTTTACTAAATATTATCTGCACAGAAATTCCTATTCGGTGATCAGTAATTAATCCCTATCACATTTATGAGACTGTAAAAAATCCCATTTCAATTATATAAATTATTTAAGTATGCCAAGAAATATGGAGAAAAACCACTTGGCCAACTGACTGGAAGAGGTCAATATTTGTTCCCATCCCAAAGAAGGGCGACCCAACAGAGTGTGGAAACTACAGAACAATCTCATT